AAACGATGTTATGCTATCTACAATGTACACACATTACATTGCTAATATGCCACGTGACCTACCCACCAGGAACAAAACTGACTTGACATTTACCCACCAAACATCACCAATAAACTTTATTCACGTGCCCCGCATGGAGCTTCAAAATTGACGTCCCAATGCGACAGGCGGCAATATGGATGCAAAACGGTTTGTTTCCCTAAGTGAAAGCGATATATCGAGACTACGAACCTGCTTTTTTGTAAACTTAGTGTGCAATGGATGTCTTTTTTTTTCATGCTACGAATCACTGTTAAGGGTGAATGTGTCTCAAAATATAATTTGACCGTTTCTGCAGCACTCTGATTAGACACATCCATGTTCCAGACGTTCAATCCTGTGCCTTTGAGTAAATTTTGGTCTGGACCTTTAATTAATTCTATAATTCCACATTATTTTTAAATTTCAACATAAGATTAAGATTCTACAATGCAAAATAAACTATATCCATTGCAAAAACCGCAATTAAATTTCATTCGTAGGAATAAGCCAGGAACTTTATTTTTTGTCGGATTTTTTTTTTAAATTATCATTTTTTTCCCTTTTGAACTACATGGTATATAAACACTGTAGTACTGTTAATTTTTGATTGCACAAAAGGCTATTTTTGCAGTGAAATGTGTTAGGCTTGTTCTGAAATATATATTTGTTTTTTTTTAAGAATTATTATGACGAATTATGACACATAAAGTAAATATTTTCCTAAAGTTCAAAAAAAAAAAACCCAACAAATTTTAACTTAAAATTGACACATTTTTCGAAATATCTAAACATTTACATCATATACCCCTATTTGAAGTTCCCTTCTGAATATTTTATATAACTTCGACCTATCTGCTTAAATTCAGCCAAATTTTTTAAGAAATAAGGTGTCATTTCTGAGTTTTATTGAGATGTTAAACGGGTTGGTAACGTGATCAAATCCCATAAAGCCCGAAGGGCTTAATGGAAGATTTGATCATGTGCCAACCCGTTTTACATCTCAATAAAACTCAAAAAATGATACTTTATTAATTATATTTACATTTGTGACTTATCAATACTTTAGATTTGCCTGATTTTGACTTTTGACGTGTGAAATGCGTAATTTTTCAAACCCAACGGCATGTATGTAATCCACTGAACGCGTGTCAACCCTTTATGACGTCACTGAGAAATTACGTCGAACGTTTATCTATACGCACATCTCTTACATCTAGGATGTTATTTTTGATTAGGATACAGATTTCTGTGCAAAAGGTCATTTTTAATATAGGGACAATTAAGCCTATAATTTATGATAATAGATCTCTGAGTCGGAGAAGGAAAAGCAAACATATACCAGCTGTTCATCTATAGTGTTAACAGCCAAAACTTTGCCATGCATCTTTCCCGTTGGTACTGATTTTAGATGAAACTTCCAGTATCGGTACAGGATATCTACAAGAAATACATAAGACGAAAAGAAACATTATATCTTTTCAAACAAAAAAAAATAAAACTACAACAGAAGAAACATCATAGAAGCATATGGTTTTGGAGCTATGAAGTCTAATAATTGCAGTGATTTGTGTTTTAATAAAATGAGTTTTAAAAACAATACAGAGCTGGCTTTAGTGTTTTTTGATGAGGCGACATTAACTTTCAAACAAAATTGCTATGCTTGAATGTTTGGGTTCATTGTCTGCAAATGGTATTTTTAATTTGATATACCTTTATTATTCTTTGGGTGATACAATAAATGGAAATGCTTTTGGAAGGTTTACAACTATTATTATACACGTGGTGTTAATTTGTAAGCATGACCTCACTGTCAGTGTTAGGAATGTAAATCAAATGATTCAGAAATGTTTATTAACATTAAATTTACCTTTGGATTTGCAGATAGTTCGTAAGACTTGATATTATCCGAATGTGAAATTTGTCATGGCATTCTTCATTTCGTACATGCTTTCAGCGCATCAACCAATGCGCCAAGTACCACAACTCTCCTTCCTCCTCTGCAATGAAAGGTTGGTTTCGATGCACTTGTCTCATCTGATACCTTCTCTCAAGATTGAATGTTTGCAAAATTTGGAAAGTCTAGATTAAAGATATACTTTAGGCAGGTACACTTAGAAAAGTCCTAAAAAACTATTAAACATATATAAATTGCCCCTTCAGCTTTAATTAATTAAAAAAAGCATCAAGTGGTTTCTCATTATGGGGAACATACGTCGTTAATTTAGTGTATGAAAATTAGACCATCAATAAGTATGAAAGAAGTTAATCAGCATTTGACTCAATAAAAAATTATATTTGCATGGTGACACTGTATTGCAAAGATTATTTTTGGGCTCCCTGTAAATTGGCTTTTTAAAACAAGAAAAAAAACTATTGTGGGTGACACACTGTGGTTAGCCAAACATTCTTGGTTATGTTAACCTGACATTAAATAACCTAATACGAGCATTAATGAGTATTAGGTACAAACCTGTACAAGTCATTTTTGTTGACGTCCCGTCATCGTCGACTATAATATAGCGATGGTTGAGTTATCTGACAAACGTCCTGTTCCACGAGCATTTAAATAGACCCTAGCCCATCCTCTTTTCTTTGTCACGCTGACATAATGCGTCAGAATGAAATCTGCGCTTCTTCGTCATTTTGATGGCCGCGCACGATCATCACTGTTACTGTTTACAATGCCCAAATTGGAATTCAATTCGCAGTACATTTACTTATGTATTCCTAATCGGGATGGCGATTATTTTTAGTACATTATTTATATCGGATAATTGTTATTATGATTAATAATTACATATATATATATATAATTAATTTGTTTTTTTAAGATTTCATCAGGATCGCAGCACTTTTCAAACACCTCAAAAGTTCTAAAGTTGAAATGTAAAAGATTACTTTGATCCATAGAGTGTATGCCCTTGCACTAGATCGATTTATTAAGACCCCCGACATTACCCTCCGATGTACTTGCATACAAATATACGTTAGTGTCAATTAAATACGTAATGTAGAGAAAACATCTTAATAAAATAGTGATGAAGACATTAAATTCAAGTTCTTAAAGTATGCCTATGTTTTAAATTTCAAAGCATTTTGTCAGAAAACGGAAAAGATATTGAGATTTTTGTTTCAGCCAATCAAAGCAAAGCGCACGTGCACGCACGTGCATGCATGTAAATGTTGACCATACCATCTTGTAGGAGTCCTTTATGTCTTTCTATGATCTAATCCCATCATGTTTGGTTTGAAACCAAGGGAGTTATAGTCATTTAAAGTTTCAGCCAATCAGATTGCAGCACACGTGCATGCACGCGATTTCACGAAAATTTTTATATATCATATTGTAGGGTATGCTAATGTTTGACTATGTTATAAATTTCAAAGCATTTCATCGAAAAACAAAAAAGATATTGAGGTTTTTGTTTCAGCCAATCAGAGCAAAGCGCACGTGCATGCGCGTGAGTTCATGAAAATTTGACCATGTCATCATATCTATACATCTTATATATCCTTATATAATGAGTTTCAAAACATTTCATCAAAAAATGTAGAAGTTACATACATATTAAATATATCAGTCAATTCACTCATTTCACGCGCACGCACGTGCATGCGTATGCGCGCAAAATGACCTTCGTTCCGCACACCTACACTACACACCTATTAATCCTAAAAAGGTTTTAGCTCAGTTGGGTGAACAGTTTCTGAGAAGACTCGCGGACAAAAAAAATACCAGAGAAGAAATAAGAAAAAAAAAATAATTACTAGAGCCGAGCTCGTTGCAAAGCTACGAGTAGGTCTTCCGTCCATTAGTAATGAAGTCTAAAAATGGTTTAATCCTCCAAATCTATATTAATTATTACAATGTCAAGCCATTTTTTGCTACATCCGGTTTGACCGGAAGTGACGTCGACGGACAGAAAATTAAGATTTAAGCTTTGAGTGACATATGTAACCCAAAAACTTGTCAAAAACGGCAAAAATATGCAATTTTTGACTACTTCCGGTTTTACCGGAAGTGACGTCGCCACACATATTTTGACGACCCCTTTAGATAAAGCTTGACATTCTGAACAACTTTGTTTCTTTGACGAATTACAAATTCTCAATACTTTTTGAGATATCAATTAAAAAAATTTGGCCCCTCTATATCCCTTTTTTTTTAAGGGTCAGCCCTTTTTTCGAGATATCAATTGAAAGATCTTACAATTCTTCACAACTTTTGTTCTATATGTTTAGACAAAATATTTACAAGTAAAATGATATAATAGAAAAAGTGTTAGAAATTTTGAAAAGCTCAATATGACTTTTTTCAGTCCATACCGAGCGTTAACGTGCAGTACTACCGGTGGAAGTTAACAACACAATGCAAATCTACATATGTTGCTCTATCCTCCTGAATAGGTTTCATCTTCCTGTGATGAGCGGTTTTTAGGAAGAGCGACGGACAAACTGACCCTTAAAAATCACAAAACTGCGAAAATCTCCGAACCGGAAGTGACGTCATCAAAATAAAAAAAGGGTATCGAGACTTTCTGATGTTCTATCAGACCTGAAAGTTTCATAAAATTCTAACGAGCCGTTTTTGAGAAATCGCGTGCACAAAATCGGTAAGAAAAAAATAAGAAGAAAATCAGTGGAAAAGAAACAAACGAATAACAAGAAGGTCTTCCGCTGAAGATGGAAGACCTTAATAATAAGAAGAAGAAACAGAGTAAAAAAATATGTTCCCAAACTCCGTTTGGGGAACATAAATAGCAAAGAAATTGCTGTAGAAATCAGACGAGACTCAAGATAGAAATATATCGATCGGATTTGCTCAGAAGGTTCAAATTTGTCAGTTCCATACTCCTTTGAGAAGTTGCATATTTTCAATATATAAAAGCAGAGGAATATCATTGAAGTGGTTCAGTATTGATTGTTTTCGATGGTACAAATTCTGGTATTTATGCATTATTCAAGTACATGTAAGTTACCTTTGCAAAATGGTGGAAGATAACCCTCTCTACAACCGTACTCATCACACTGCCCCGTTATGTCGCAATCATTTCTACACATGTCACATGATGCGCATTTCTCGCCATATTTAAAACGTGGACAACCTATAATGAACAATTTGAAAAGTCACCCTGACTGTTGATGCATTGTACTTCGTATGACACATTACCATCATAGTGAGGATTTTTTTATTTTATTTTTTTTTTCATAAATAAAACCAAATTGTGTGTCTTTGTGTTTTAATGTTTAAACTTTAGAAAAATATACCAAGCCGGGTGAATTTTTAGAGGAGGAACAAAATGAAAAAAAATATCAATATCACATAGGGTGATTTTTAAAATTTAGCTTTTCCAAATAAAATTCACCTGGCTTGGTATATTTTTCTAAAATTTATATTGCATGTACACTTTAAGCACCAAGATAACATATTCTGAAATTTGTTTTCACCTGTAAACCTTTACTAAATATGATTTGTCTATACATGTATTTGTTTTTTCATTGAAATATTACTAATATTTTCCAAGTGTTTTTCATATTCCAGTTCTTAGAAGAACAAAATATAAGAACCATCCACTTCTAAACTTGTGACTTGATATTTAATCTTTTTCTAAGAAAAAAATTGTTTGTATCATCTGTCCTTAAGGAACATAATCAAAAAATTTCTATTCTTGGGATGAACTTTTGCACAATCCAAAAAAAAAAAAAAAAAAAAAAAAAACAACCCCCCCCCCAAAAAAAAAAAAAAAAAAAAAAAAAAAAAAACAAAACAAAAAAAAAAAAAAAAAAAAAAAAGAAAAACAGAATATAAAAAACAAAAAACTAAAAACAAACAAACCTTTTCCTTTACAAAACTTTCATCTGAATAGAAAAAAATATTGCCTGTGAAAAAAAATTGGGGCTTAATAGAAGCAACAATTTTTTTTATATTTGTAAACTTTTTAACAGTACCGAAAATTCATACCGTAAATCTCAACTTCACAAATTTCTAGCATGACACCATTTGGATCGTTCTTCTTGTCATTATAAATCGTTACATATTGCGCTACACTTGTACAGTTGATTTCAATCACCGTATCTAGAGACACATTCCCCGCATCTTGATAGCATGTGTCCTTTTTATCTATTTCTGGCATTCGAGATGCAAGAATGGAAAATCCATTAAGTCTAAAAGTCGAAGGACCTAAAATGTGCAATTGAAAATAATTGAGATTGCATAAACTGTAAAAAAAAAAAATGCTTCCTTTCAAATACTTTAAAGAAATTTTGGTTCTTCTCTTTTGAAAATAATAACCAACAGATAAATAATTGAGATTTCTGAAATAAAATGTCCTTAATATTCATAAAATAATGTGCAATACCCTCTGTAAGTTAAATCATTGCAGTGTATAAGATTCTGTTGAGAGTACAATCCATGCATTTATAAGACTATTTAAAATGCCAGAGTCTTTGAAACTTGGATCGAATTAGGAAGAAAAATATAAAAGACTACGCATGAATAAAAAAATTTCTCAAATTTAAGTTTTATTTTTAGCATCATCTAAATAATAATTATATCAAACGAAAAAACGATGCTATCTGAACGTTTAATATCGTTTTAAGTATTTTGAAAGACAAAAAAAATTTAAAACCCGGATAAGACATTAGATATATTGATTTTTTATACACGTATATGTGTATATTTAGTTGGATAAATTAAAACGACTTACGGTTTTTGCGAAATATATCGCCCCTGTACCATATTTTCACACTTTTCAAATTAAAAATGGCTCCAAGATCAATGTGTAACCAAGCCTCTGACTTTTTTCTATCTGTGTGCATACAGTAAAAAGCATCTTGACTGCGATATCCGTCAATAGATAGGTTTGCTTTGTATGCTTTTCCATATCCATATGGAAGTCTAGAACTGCTTTTAACTTTCGTTTGGTTGGTATTTATGAGCTGGTCTTCAAAAAAAAAGACAGAAAAAGTTTTTTACATAGATCAAGAAAATATCGAAAAAACTATAATAATTTGAATTTTCGATATTTCATTTCTTTGGAAAATTTAGATATTCATAAAAAATATTGATATGATGTACAGGAATAATTTAGTTATAATAAAAAAAATGAACAGAAGGACTTGGGAGGCTACATGTAAGCGCTTGTCTCGATGAATATACATGCATATCAAGGCTAGATCTGTAAATAAGGATTAATTGGGAGATGAACTATGTTCAGATTCCCTAGATTGTCATGCGGTTTCTAGAGCAGTAATTTTATAATGAATAATATAGCGGCCGTCGTGGTGTTTCTGTGTCGCCCAATTTACTTCCCTGTGATATTCAAAACAAACTCGTAACAGTCTATATATAAACTCGAAGAAACTTCCGCAATACAAATAGTCCATCTCATTTTTCTGAATTGATCTAATTTTCATAAATGATTTGAAAGTAAATGAAATAGAAATATATTTAGCTTAATTTAAATAGCATAATTTTGTCATCTCTCCTGAGAAATGACACATAAATTGTGATTTCCGAATATAAAAAAGTCCCAGTTTTCCGTCATTTATCATTCGGCAATCCTCGGCAGACTCCACTACGCTCCATTATAAAAAGTGCTAGGTCATCCTAGGAGCAACAACTTGTCTATCTGGTTTGACAATGACGCAATTGTCTAAATATAGAGATGTAAACAAAGACGAAAGGAAAGGAACGCTAAGGTTTAACCCAACTTCTTTCAATTTGTTTCAGCAATAAAGAGACAGAACAACGATTCTTAAAAAAAAAACCTGCGGAAAATATCACTGTCATACATAAATTTGCTATGACAAGTGAAATGATCTGTTAGACTGGAAAATTTTTGTAAGACCAGATACATGCAATTCATTATTTTTACGTTGGTGAAGGGAAAACATAATAGTTTAAAAAGCACGGATGAGTTGAAAGATATCTAAAAACCGATTAGCATTTTACGTAACTATAGCATTACTTAAAAAAAAAATTAATAGCATAACAGACAACAGGACTGCATTCACAATTATTGCTTTACAAAATATAAGATCCAAAATTAAACAGAATCATCTACTTCCGAATCCTAATGCATGTATATCTACATGTAATTTGAAAATAGGAATTTTTCAAACATGAAATGTCGCTTGCGTGGCGCAGTGGTTAGAGCGTCGGCTCTAGAGTCGCAAAGTAAGGAGACAATCCTAACGTCGCGGGTTCGAATCCCACTGCTGGACGTGGAGACCGGTCATTCGGATGAGACCTTATTAACCGAGGCCCCGTGTCGCAGTAGGTGCTGGCATGAAAAAGATCCCTCACTGCTCAAAGGCCCTGAGTGCCGATCATAGGACAAAATTTGTAGCCCTCCACCGGCAAGTGGTGGCGTCTCCGAATGAGTGAAAAATTCTCGAGAGGGATTTTAAACAACATACAATCAATCAATCAATCAAACAAACATGAAATAGTTCCTTCTACATATTGTGCCGTATGCATATGTATACACACAAGGGAAATTATTGAGACATTGTGTATATTTTTCATTTTGTGAAAATTTGCATATACATTTGACAAACACTTAGGAATCATAAAAGCAAGAAATATTTTACAAATATTTGATTTCTTCTCTCCAGTGGTATATAAATGTGTCAATGGTACATGTAGTAGTCGCAGTCACGAAATCAGATATTGAAAATATGTAACACCAGTGTTGAAGCTACCGGTGGACCCATAATATGTGCGAAATAATTCGATTTATGTGTGTATTTTATAAATTTATATTTGACATAATGTTGATTAGAAATACAGAGATCATTATAAAACAAGAAAACATTGATGTAACGATCAAACATATAAAGTAAACAATGAAAATGAGTCTTCATCATCAAACCGATTCGATATGTGTGAAAAGGCATGCGTTTAATTGATGGAAACGATAGTCGCGAATATTTTTAAAACTTTTAGTCGGTTAAAAATTAAACAAAAACGATACCATTAAAAACTTGATCAATACCACAAGTAAATGTTGCCTGCATAAAATGTAAATTAAAGTTAGACACATGCATTAACTACATATTCTTAAAAGGGGACCTGTCGTTTTTTTGATAGTGAATGATAAGCAACTTTATATATTAAATATGAAAAACATATATACATGTATTTATACAGATTCAATTTATGTAAGTAAATATGTTATGTATCTCGTAATTTATTAAAGGAAAGAACATTCTGATTAACAATCTTTTCAATGTTTAGAAAACCTTTAATTTTAAATAACTCCTCCCACCCCAACCCCCATACATCAGCACTTAAACTTATATGTATAGAGCAGCCCGGTGTAACGTTGAATTTTGACCCGGGTTGAAAATTGATCCGTGGGTCATTTTTCAACGTTGAATACTGAGACCAAAGGTGTTGAATTTAGACCCTAATCCGTTGAAAACTGAGCCGGGTCGTGGAATTTTGATCATGAAACCGGTTCAAAATTCAACATCATAAAAACACATATTTATGATTGGGTTTTCACTACTGTGATTCAATTCAAAGGTATGAGGCCCCGTTTTGGTATTTACTGCAAAAAGTAATATCCCCTATTTGAATATTAAGTGATATCACCTGTTCCAATAGATGATATCACATATTTGATTTGAATTTGTGATATCACTAATTCGAAAAGGTGATACGAGGGTCGTTCAATAAGTAATGCAATACTCAGTATATCATAATACATGTTGGGGTATTTGATTTGATTTTTTCATATTTGAAAAGTTCTAATTAAGATCTAGTAAACACAGAAAACCCCACAAATTTTCAAAGTGTCTTCGCAAAGAAATTCATTTTTGAAGTAAGCATGGTCACTACACTGAGCTGAAAACAGTTTAAAAATGATCTCCGCCAAGAAGATGAAAATAAGTGCCTATTTGAAAACCGCGCGTTTTACATAAATCGCCGCAAACCTCATATTAAAGATAAAAATTTTTATAAGTGAAAAAAAATAATCTTTAAGGCTGTATACTTTTCAGATGGATTCAATAATTCAGAAGAAAAAAGCAAGGGTTCAAATATAACAGTCAATATGGTCAATTGAGATTTGTGGGGACATCACAAAATATCGACTTTATGTGCCACATGTAATTGAAAATGCTATATTAACATGGAAAGTCATTGTTAAAATACTTTACATTAAATCGTCACAACATTTTGTAGAATTTGGACAAAGGAACAAGATATAACAATATTTCAATCAGATAGGTGCCCTATCTTCTCACAACTGTCCAAGAGAGAATATTCGTTAAATGTGCATACGGTTTACTTAAAAAACATTTTTAAAAAATTGAAGAATTGATAAACTTGCTTAATGTATGACGAAACATTTGTGCTCTTATTATAGTCGTAAAATATGATTAATGATAAAAAATGAGGAATCAAAGAAAATGTTGTCATTTAATTAAGATAAAGAGAAGCAATGGCTGCAAACATGTTTTATTTGTTTTCATGTATTTAAAGAGGTCCATAACAACATGAACAGGCATCCAAATGAAGGACTAGCAATAGTAAGTTTTATCTTCAAAAAGCATAAAGGAAAGTTGAACAGATTTTTTGCAATGGAAGTCCAAAATTCAGTGAACATGGTATTTTTCCTGTGCTTAAGAACGCAGTTGGATATTCTCTTAAAGAAAAAAAAATTGAAGAAAAGAAAGTAAAAAGGACTTTAAAATGACCCATATTAGTTTAATCGTAGCCACTGTGAGATCTTTTCGTCCCCAAAACACATGAAAACAATCAAAGGAAGATTTTACAATGTCAGATATGCTATGGGAAATGATATTTCTCAGAGTCTTTGGGGTATCCCTAAAGATAAGTATGCTGCGGATTTCTGTTCATGGATTCAAAGACTCAAGACACATGAAACTGATAACAGGGAATGCCGTTAGGGATTGAAACTATTAAGAATATGTATTACGTACTTTTTCTTACTTTTAGATGACATGTTGCATTATTTATTGAACGACCCTCGTATCACCTGTTCGAATTGGTGATTTCACCTTTTCCCGTCGAACAGCTGTAGTTTTTTTTGCTTACAAATTAATTTATTTCACTTATATGTCATGTAGACAACAAGAAAATCGTAGAAAACACATGAAAACTGGGTAGTCAGAATTTTCTTGATTCCAGTGGTAATCTACATATTATAGGGAGCATTCAGTATTGATTGTTGTAAGAAACTCAAACAGGTAATATCACCTATTCGAATAGGTGATAGCAGTTATTCAAATAGGGTTATGTAGATTTTTTCTGCAATAGCTGCGTCCGTTCATTCCAGTAAAAACAAACAAAGAAAGACATTTTATTGTTTATATTTAAATCTGTTTAAATTATCATTTTAAGTAGGAAAAAAAATATTAATTATTGTGTTAATGATGCAAACGTCTTTGTACGTTTCATTGATGGAACGGCCACTGATCAAGAAATCTGTACAGGTGATATGCCTAATGTAGTTCATGCAGTGATGAACGCAATTGGTTTTCTTAAGAAATAAAGAAGAAAATATTCAGTGGATGTAAATATTCGATAATAATGTTAAGCTTTACATTCCTATTTAATTGAGTTTACAACCAATTCTAGTTTAATTTGTCATATTTCACAGAATGTAATCATGGCAATTATTGAAAAGGAATTAAAAAAACATAAGAGATCATAGATATAAAATTATGTAATAAGATGAGAAGTTTATCGAATAGGAATCGTATTTTTTTGAATAGAAATGGATGCTAGTATGTTTTCGAACAACAACTTTATTGCATATAAACCAAATAATTATCGAATAAAAAAAATAAAATTATTGAATAGGAATGACAAAATTAGCGACTAGCAACCGATTGTTTTATTAAATATTAATGACATCGAATAGGAAACGCGTGTTTTCGAGAGAAAAATATGTAAATTTTATGATATATG